ACATTTAAAGATCCACGCAAGGTATAGTAGTATGTATCTATCTCCTATCGGACCATACGATGATTTATACCATGTCGAATCTATTCCACTTTTCTCGAATGCAAAAACAAGTCACCAAATTCACACAAATTACGTGTAGAATAATTGTGGAGAAAATAAGTACATATAAATCATTCAAATTCCAAACGCATGTTTTAATGTGAAAAATGTAAAACTAAAGATTAAATATTCATATAACAAAGTTCATCATTTTCTCAACACAAAAAGATCTAGCCTAACATAACGGCGGAATTAAATATATAAAAGTGGAACCAGATCACCAGTAATTGAATGGAACGTGATTGATTCACAAATTGAAACTGCCGTGTTTCCGCCTTCTCGTGTCTGCCTCAGCCGCCCACTTTTATTGCCAATTAAAAAGTCCAATTCCAGCCTCCCAATATCTTTTCTATGCGTGTATATATGATTCAATTCAGCTGCTTTCATTTTCTGTAATTCCAGCCTTCCTTTTAATCCCCCAAAGCAGCTGGCCGATTTTATTATTTCAGCGACTCAATTTCCGGCCAGCCTCCTTCTCTCGGTTTTCAGCGTGTATATATATAGAGAATAAAATCTAGCCGCCATCCAATTTTTCTTTTGGAATTAGAATTCTTGTTCTCATAAAATTCTAGCCGTCCCATGTCTTTAATTCCAGTTATCAGCCTGCTTTATTTTCCTTTTATGTAGGAGTGTGTATATATATATATATATATATATAGACGTATATATCTATCAACCAGCCGAATTCTTTGTGTAAGAAAAATGATGCTTGTATATCATGGTTTACATCATGTGTATAATCCTTCGCATATTGAGAGAGCCCACCTAATTAAAAAAATTGTGAGCCCCTCATGGTGAGGGGATTGTAAGGGGTGTACAACTTTTAGAGCTATACACCAAGCATCTTTTTTTGTGTAATGTTCTGTCTGGTGCATATTATTGGCTGAAAAGAATGGATTTTCTTACTGTTGTGGTCGTAATTTTCGACTGACTTTTTCTTTGGTGGGACTCGCAGTTGAATTCAACGGTAAGAAAATTGCTGAAAATCCATTGAAAAATCACGGCCAGACAGGGGCATAATCTGATTTCGATGCTCCAGCTGTTAGAGGTGGGCGCGGGTCGGTTCGGTTCGATTCTAAAGAAAACCGAACCGAACCGAACCAAAATTTTCGGGTATCTGTTAAACGAAACCGTCGGGTCCAAATATAATTATGGAACCGTTCGAGTTCAGTTCCATTCGGTTCAGTTCCGTTCGGTTTGGTTCCGTTCGGTTCTGTACTATAATTAAAAATTTTAATATTTATAACAACATTATATAAATACAACTAATGATATATTCAATAGTTTTGGAATGTCAGAGACTAGTAGACTGTCTTATTCAAAGATTGCTACAGTCAAAGTTTCGGTCGGTGGAGGTCATAGCTTCGATCGAAGGTCATGGCGTTAGTCGATGATTGTATAGGTTTTGAAATGTCAGCGATACTGCGAGAGTGAGTGCAAGAGTCGAGATAGCGTTATGTACTTTAGTGTAGGTGTTTAGGGTTATTTAGTAGATTGGATCTTGTTGGGCTAAGAAATGAAACAATAAAATAGGTATTTGGGCCAAAAATTAAAAAATTAGAAATGAAACAAATTCTTGGGTCAAAAATTTGGATTTAGAAATTGTTAATTTGTTAATTTGTTTAGAAAAAATTAAAATTAAAATTAAAATAATTTGATTTATTCAATATAAAAAAAATGAGAAAGATTTGATTTTTATTCGATTCTTGGTCTAGAATTGAGAACCGAACTGTACCCGTCGGTTCTCAATTCAAATACCCGTTCGGGTATTTAATTTGGCAAGGACCGTCGGGTTCGGTTCGGTTCGATTCGGGAGATTTGCCCAACCCTACCAGCTGCTGCCAATGTCTTTATTTCTTTCATGTAATGCAAGTTGGTCCTTTTCTTTATCTTTTCCTCAATTTTGATCCTTCAACTTTTATTCTTATTAGTTCTCGACCTCTTTTTCCTTTTCTCTGTCTTCCAAAATTTTATTTCTTCAACGAATTGTACTTGGCTCGTTCACTTCCTTGATTTGTCCTTCAGACATCTTTTGGTTCTTTGCACTTTGGTCCCTAAACTTTTGTTTCCCTTCATTTTGGTCATTTTTCGCGTCTTTTCTCTTGAATTCCATGCTATCCATCAATATAATCTACAAAACAAAATTACATAGAATTAAATCATATTTCAGTAATAAATAGTCATGTTTTGTGACTCGAATAAGTGTGTAAAAACATACTTATCAAACCCCCCAAACTAATTACTATTAGCATGTATATGGATTTCTTCACTAACATAAAAAAAAATTGTCAAAATGTTGATTCTCTTACTTTTTTGGGACTTCCTTCAATAGAAAGACAGTAAAATAGATGATCTGGTCTCAAGCTACGGTTTTATTGCAATTCTATGTCCAACCAATGTTAATATTTGCTATACAGATCATATATTCTAAACATATTATAGATGCTAACAGATGGATGTCCATGGAAATTCCTTGAGGAAACGTAAAGAAAATTTGGTCTTTTCTGTTGAGTAAAAGAACAAAACATGTTGCTAATACTATTCTCTCTAATTGTACCCCTCTCTTCTTCACACTCACTGCTGGAATGAACTCTGTTATTAGATGTTGATGTTGAGCAATTGGGTACTGATGCGGGCATCCATTTATTATTTATTTTCTATTTGGACTATTAGTTATATTTTATTTAGACTATTGTTTATGTTTTCGCTATTGGGCTTGCTTAATGGGTTTGGCCCAAGTCCTTCTCTTTAGGGTTTGTATTCTGCTATTTATTTCTGTTTTATTTCTCATTTGAGACAGTTGATGATGAATTAAAATTGAAATATTTTTGGTGGCTTGCAGCCATTTTACATGTACTAGCAGTATTAGCTTGTTTGATGCGGGTATCCATTTATTATTTATTTTCTATTTGGATTATTAGTTATATTTTATTTGGACTATTGTTTATGTTTTCGCTATTGGGCTTGCTTAGTGGGTTTGGCCCAAGCCCTTCTCTTTAGGGTTTGTGTTCTGCTATTTATTTCTATTTTGTTTCTCATTTGAGACAGTTGGCGATGAATTAGAATTGAAATATTTTTGGTGGCTTGCAGCGGTTTTCTCCCTCCCCTCTCTTCCTCCGGTTTCTTCTCCTCTTCTCCCTTTTCTCTGTTTCTCCTCCCCGTTCCTTCTTCTTTCTTTCTTGTTCATCCTACATCAAATTGGTATCAGAGCTAAAACCTGGCTTCGTTCATCAAAGTGGTTTCTTTCACCCTGCAACTGCAAAAATCCAAAACTGCCTCCTGCCCGTAACTGTCTACTATCAACCCGCCACCACGTATATAACCCCCCACTAAGCAATAACCCAAAAATACAGAAAACCCCAACTATACAGAAAATCCAAACCCACCTAACCCACTAATTCGTAATCCATAGACTCGGTCAAGCCCATATCCCTAACCCAATTACAGCAGCCCATTGATTCATTATTCCAACTCTACTTATACTCCAAGCCCATAAGACCCAATTACCATACAAACCAATTATCCAGCCCACACCCACATTAGCCCATTACACCAATTGCCGGCCCAACTCACAATACTAGGCCCAACTCAACTCCTATCTCACTACCCAGATCAATTTCCCAACCCGAGCCCTAACTCATCCTGTCACTCCCCACGACCAGCAGCTCACCCCGTCAATACCCACGATGTCCAGTCACCCACTCCCTCCTACCCGTCACCATCGCCGACTTGCACCCCAGTCGGACTTCACCACTTAGTCGCTCGACCATCAATCGGCCGGCCATTGCTCATTATCCCAGAAGCCGGCCACTTCTCGCCATTTGTGAACTGCCATTGCTCATTATTTCCATAAGCCAGCGTCTACAGTTTCAGTCTACCACCAAGCAACCCATTCAGTTGCACAGAGATTTCTATTTCAGCATCTGTCCAATTTCAGTGAAGCCAACAATTTAGAATATGCAATGACCGTGAGTTCAGGAGCTGGAGACATTTGACACAGGCAGATCAGAGGCCCAATCGTTAGCAATTCAGGCAACTAGACTACAGGGAGTTGCTATCTCCTAATTCTCATTGGTTTATACTGCTGTTTTATTTTAAAAGTGCATCACTTAGATTCTTTGTGTTGCTGTTACTATCACAACTTTTACAATCTAGATAATCTATAGTACCTCTCTAAACCATTTTGTAATGAAATGAGATCGAAAGAACTTCCTCATATATTATGTTAACACATTGAGCAACAAATGCTTCATCTTAAGCTTTTGAATTTTGCTCTCGGATTCTCTTAGTAGACAGATGGAGCCTATTGGATTAATTTTACGCTATTTATCACGCGACAATGTGTACAAAATCTATGAAGCCATCAAAGGAGAGAAACTTGTGTTTTTGGGACAATTCTTTCACATGTATTGCGATGGATTGGGCAAAAGTACCATTCAAATTCCTCTCACATGGGGGTAAGATTTCAACTCTTTAAGATGCTTCCCAGATTCTTTGTATCAGGAAGAGCTAGCTTCTTCAGAGAAACTTGATTTAACATATATTTAAAGTTATATTTTAGCTCCACTTCCCCCCACTGTAACAGGCTCGTGGCATTTTAATGATTTTAGAAGGAAAGTCATGAGAGACTCGAGTGCTACAAAAATTGAATCAGAATTTCAGCATCTAATTTTATATTTCTTCAATTATTTTATCGGTCTGATTCTTCTTCATTTTTATGTAGTTATTGGATTCCAGTCAACATTCAGGGGAGACAGTCCAATTTATGGTTTATTTCCAAGTTTTCATCAAATTTCTAAGCATCATATAAACTCATACAACAAATGAATTGTTTTCCGTAATAGTTGCACAATTCAATATTAGTACCCACGGAATTTATGAAAGCAATATACAGTTGTAAAAATAATCAATGGCCAATCTCTATCTCATAGATGAAAGCGTATACCAAATTACATTTGTAACAGAATGATTTCTCCTGTTCAATGAGGTTTAGCTGAATAAAGAAAAGATGAAAAGACAAGTTTACAAAATAAATTCGCGTGAAGAGAGAAAATCTAAAGATGATACAAACCTTTTCATATTTAGACCCCCTATCAAGGAGCAAAAATAAGATGAATAAACGAGAGAAAAAAACATTGAGCAAACACATTCAAGTGCGTTAATGAATACAATACCTTCTATAGATCAATGACAAAACAGGTAATAGATAGATCACCTATTACTTCTGGTTGGTAGTGCCCTTCTTCTTCAACAGGTTTCCAAATTTGTGCAGCAAGGGTTTCTTCTTCTTCTGACTCTGCTGTTTTGATGGCGAGCTTCCAGCATTATTGAGATTTTCTTTTGAGGGTAGCCCATTGACCTGGTCATAGCTCTCACCACCATCAGTTTTTGAGTCCACTTCCTCCTCAAATGATTCCTGTTCTAGCCCTCCCTGAGGAGAGAGGTCTTTTTCCTCAATCTTGCAGCTCTCCCACATCTTAAGATCAACATTTGTAGAATCATCGTCTTCCTTTACTTTGTTCTCATTATCTTTTGAGTTTCCATTCATGTTCTCAACTTCAGTAGCAATCTGAGAAGATTCATGGTTCAAAACGTCATTAACTTCCGCTAGCTTCTCCTCTACAGGTTGCTCCCTCTGTTGAGGTTGGAGCTCCATCTTAGGCTTCACATCTTCTGTGCCATTCTTTTTGGAGAACTCCACCAAGCCACTCTGTTCAGAAAACTCCACCACTTTCGGAAGCATATCATAATCTTTTTCACTTTCAGTAAGCTCACCATTTTCATTGACACGCTTAGGTAAATCTTCAAGCAACTTAGATAACTCCTCAATCTTCTTAAGAGATGCAGCTTCTCTAATTTGTAGCTCCTCATTCTCCTGAAGAATGTTCTGTAATTCATTTTCCTTGTCCATTAAACTCTCTTTTAATCTCATGCTCTCAGCCTTTGCTTCACCAAGGACTTCCTTTAGGTAAATCACCTCTGATTCAGCTTCCTTAAGGGAAATTTTCAGGTGATCTTCTTCCTTCTTTGTCGCAAAAGCTTCTTCATTTGCCACATGTAGCAAATTAACCAGCCTTCTTATTTCTTTTTCCATTGAAGAGATCTCTTCTTCAGATTGCTTCACACTTTCCATTAAACGAAGCTCCTGCTGCTCCCACTCAGTTTTTGAGTTCTGGAGATCATGCTTTGACTGGTCAAGAGAGTTAGCTAGAGCCTCAATCTCTTGTTTCGCATCATCAAGCATGCTTTCATACTTCTCATTTGTTGCTTTCAAAACCAGCCTCAGGTCTTCTATTTGAGTTCCATAGTTTTCATTCTCAATTTGAACTGACAATAGCTTCTCTTTGGCTTCTCTTGCCTCTGAAGAAACTTCATGCAAAGCTGATGCTAAACTTTCCATTGCTTTCTTACTCTTCTCTTCTTCATCCCTAGAATTTTCCAAGTCATTTATGAGCTTATGTTTTTCTTCCAATAAATTTTGAACACTGTCAGCTGCAAGCTTCTCGTTGTTTGAAGCCTGAATTCTCTCTTCTTTAACAGTTTCAAGCTCAGACACCAGATATTCAACTTTTTTCACCATTTTAGAAGCTTCTTCTTTGGCTAGTTCAAGTTTGCGTTCTGATTCCTCAAGATCCCCCTTCTGCCTTCTAATTGAAATTTCCAGCAATCCCACCTTCTCTTTAAGGGATGTGATCTCGGATTCTGCATCACGCAAAGAATCGTTGCTTCCTTCAAGTTGTTTCATGACTGATTCCAGAGATTCTGAAGCAGATCTCTCCAATTTCTTTGCTTCCTCGGCCTGAACTTCTAATTCTAGAGCCCTCTTCTGCCACTCCTCCACTAAATTACATGCATAAGATTCAGCCATTTTTGCAGCCTCCAAATCAATATTAAGTTGCTCTAAGGTAGCCTCTTTCTCTGCCAATTTCTCCTCATTAATATTTGTCCTTTCAAGTTCTTGTCTCAGAGAATCAATCTCCAATTTCAGTACTTCCACCAACTTACTGTTCTCATTAGCTTCCGTTTCGACTCGCAAGTCAAGCATGGAGTTCAATCGAACCAACTCGGCAGAAAGAATCTCCACATTTTCTGCATTGATCTCTGCAATTTTTGATGCATCCTCAGCATGGCTTAGGGCCTGGTTTTTTGCATCAGCAAACATCGCCAACTCTCGCTTCAGCTTATCAAGTTCCTGATTGGCAGATAGAAGAGCTGCCACATCCAATGCATGCTGGGTTCTCACTGCTTCAATCTCTCTCTGCCATTCCTCGTCTTTCTTTTGGATTGCTTCAATGCCAGCCTGTTCCATCTCAACTGCTCTAAACTTTTCAATCTCGATATTCTCTTCAGCTCGCTTTTGAGCCGCCAAAGCTTCTCTGAAGTTCCCATCTGCTTCCTCGGCTGATCTCTGTGCCTCAATCAATTCATCAAGAGCTTTTGCTTTTTCTTTCTCTACCAAAACCAATTTCTCCTTGGCCTTCTTAAGATCTTCCCGAGCGAGATTTAATTCCTCCTGAAGTTCCGATGGCTTTGAAGTCCTAGATGGTTTTCTCTGACGGAAAAAGGGAATCAAAATCAAACAATGTAATAATCCAGCAGTGCAAAAATTCAACCACTACTATCACCTAATGCAGCTATATGAAAAGGTACTCTTTCATGGTTGGAAAGAATTTTGCTGGAACTTACATCAGGTGTGGTACTGAGCTTGGGAGACCGCCGGTCTACTACAGGCTTTGGAGTGATCAGTTTTGGAGATCGATCAACTGACAGTCGAGAATTTTGGAGGGGAGAGGCCGAATCAGCATCAGATTTGGCCACTCCCCTGCTCGACTTGCTGACCCCAGGAGTCGCTGGTGATGCTGTTTTGTTGTGAGTTTCAGAAGCAGCAGATCTGTATAATCACAAAACTTTAATTGCCAGGTTCAATTATCAAAAATCTCATTATTTAAACAATGGAAGATCTAGCCAATACGCGCTAGTGAAGAAATCAAATGAAATTTATTGTATATTATTATCCAGAAATAATCTTTGCACAGAAATCACCTATCACAACCAGAATCGGATATGTCTAATTTAAGCTTGAAATCCACGCCTTTACTAAAATAACTCAATAAAAACAAAATTCAACAATGATCAAGGATTGGATTATAAAAAAAGAAGAAATGATTTTCAACTTCCGTAAATTCTATACAAACACTCCAAACCAAAGAATAATCCCAATTCAGATCCATGTATATACATACAAAAACACAGAGTACTGTAGAATACAATACTTACTTGGACTTAGTAGACATGATTGATCAGAAGCAGATTCTGCAGCAAAAAGGCAAACGAAGCTAAGAGTGGGTTGAATTGAATGGGAGAGGCTAAAAATTAGCTGACATTTTATCTTGCGTAAGAGAATGTAAGTATGATAGTGAGTGTGGGAGAGAAAGAGAACTGATGATATAGCATAGGTATTTACAGAACAGACTGTGAGAGCATTATTACTGAGAATTTACAGAAAAATAATGATTAGGGTTGATGTTCTTCAGACCTGCAACTGTTGCCCGTTACACTCTACTTTTCCAGGATTATTTTGACTGAATTTACAAAAGTACCACCCTGGTCTGCTCTATTTCTTCTTTGGAAAATGGGAAACGGGATGTTAAACGTAAATCGGGACTCATCGGCTCGAACCGTCCGTGACTCGAACTCGAGCCCCATTTTTCAGGTCAGGCAAAGTGAGCCTGCGAGCCTTTGTTGTAGTTGATGCAATTTTCCTGAGTCTGAGGTAAGATAGATAGATATGAAATTTAATTGGATTCTGCTGACCCAATTGTGATTATTAAAATTTAGTGAAAACTCAAAAAGAATATTTTTTTCATGTGGATAAGGTACTGCTTTCCCAAGCTTATCTTTGTTTTTGTAATTTTGTTTTAAATTAAATAAGGAAGAGACAAAAAAGAAAAGGCAGTGATTAAGCATCCAATCATGCCATTACTTGGTTTTGAGGAACAATAATGAAATGTAGGGCTAGTATCACCTTAAATGGTGTTAGAACATTCTTGGTGCTACAATGTTACTATTTTTTCGATATATCATGTGTTTTATGAGAGAAAAAAAATGATGTGTTTATGACTTTTAGGATTATGTTGGTTACAATGTGACACAAAAATGAAGAAACTGCCTAACAAAAATGTAAAAATAGATTTATTTTGAAACATTAGCGGAAGAGTTTATAAATAAAGGATCATGCTACACAAACATAATGGTTGACATACGGAATGACCGAACACTCACACCTCAGGGTCCGGCATTATTTTATTCACTCGGAGGTCCACGCCCCATGTGAGAGTCGGTCACCCATTCGGTCACCAGAATTCGGACACTTCGACATTTTCCATAAATAAATAGTAGTTATGAGTTCATTACAGATATTTATAAATTAGCAAAACAGAAAGTTAGTTATGTGTAAAACAAGTTAAATTGTGGTTAAGTTGTCAAATCGAAGATTAGTCGATGAAGTGTTTTAGTTAATCAATAGTTAAGAATAGATTAGGTGAGACTTCAATATATCAGCGTGCGTGTTTCTTACACTTCCCCACCCGACTGATGGATATCTTTAAATAACATCACTATGTTCTTTTTGCTGTCTTCTTTTCTTTTTTCTTTTTTTTTTTTTAAGCATTATTATTTAGCATAAGTGATGTACAAAACCATTTCACACGGTAGTAAAGTTATTATCATGATATTTTATGAATTTAAAATATATTTTTATTGCATAGTGTTACACTAATCATATTGGCCCCATAAATAGAAATTTTCTTGTTTCTGCTTATTATAATTTATAAACTCGACAAAGGATTTGTATTTTTATTTTTTAACTAGAACCACCTGGACTTGCTCCAAAACTGAATCAGACTAGTCCAATTTTGAGCCTTAAAGTCTTCTATAAATTTATAAATGTTATGAAAAGAGAGAAAAGAGAATAAAATAGGGAGAAGTCAATCGATTTGTGTGTTTTATTAAGAATCAAAGCCCTCTATTTATAGGGCAGAATTAGAGATAAAACGGTAATAATTTCTAGGGCTGCAGGAGTATAATTGTCATTCACCAATAAACTCTAATGAACTTTCTTTTTTACAACATTCCTCCTTGAATGACACATTATAAAATATCTCTCATTGAAACATTAATTGGCAAAAACCCTATGGTACAAAAATGCCAACAAAAAGAGTAATAATAATTTGGAGTATTAAAATGCTACCTCATTAAAACCTTGTCAAGAAAATTTGGTGGGACAAAAATTGATCGAAGAAAAAAGAGTACAACTACTCCCCCTGATTTCAATTCTTGTATGTCACTATCTTCAATATTGCAACTTTGGTGAAATGCCTCATGTTGTCTTGTACAATTTTCAAATAATACCGTCTTCATAAGGGATACTTTATCATTCTTTGATAACTATAGTAATATGATAATTCGAAAAATAGCTCTTGTTGATATCTTCAAGATTTTCATACATATAATGTATATTTTGAGGGTAAATGTCTTGCATGTTATAGACATTAATTCACAAAAAATGTGCTTCATTCAAACCTCATTAGGAAAAACCTTGTGGGAAAAAATCCTAATGAAAGAAAAAAGAGTGCACTATTCTTTTGAATATGCTATAAAAGTTATCTCGTTAAAAACCTTGCCAAGAAAACTTAATGGGATAAAACCTTGGTCAAGGAAAAAAGAGTACAACGCGTATTTACTCCCCCTCATGATAATATCACTTGAATTATGCTTCATGCATATTCAATCATTCCAGAATGGTATCAAAACAATACAAGATAAATTATCTATAATCACATTTAGTACATGCACATCAAATTCCATGCATTATCACACTAACAAGGTAAATACATATGATTACATCCACCATATGATAACTAATCTATTTATACAAGTGTTCGCAAAATTCATTATGTAAAAAGTCATACATTTCACATTACGACTTTACTTTTTCTATTTTCATTTCGTACAAGTATACACTTCTTGGTGTTTGAACTGTATATCCAGAAACTTCAGATTTCTCTAGTAAGTTCAATTTTACTAAGATCGCATCCATTTTATTTGGCCAATCATTATTTCGATCGATATATGATCCAGCACATCATGTGTAAAACTTTTGTCGATCACCTTTTCTTCTCTTATTCGATTCTATTTCTTTCTTTATGATAACATAACTTATTGAGATATCTCAATTTTCAATATATCAGGTAGATGAACCTCTTTTGGAGTTTTATAATATGTTATGTCTAAATACTCATAAGATTGTATGCTTTCTCAATGAGACCATCTTTGCTAATTGCTCCATTTGAAGATTTTTTGTATTAGAATCGAATATCATCATACTTCAAACGTACCATCAAATATCATATTAACTAATTGTCCTCTGTGACGTTAATTCAAATTGGAGCATTTGAAGCTGATGTGTAAGATATTATTGATCCATTTGATCAGTAAATGCATCTAAATAAATTATATTTCGAAGTTCTGGTTCGAATGATCTTTTGCGAAGATTTAGATAATAATGCATTTATACATTATTTTCAATTTTTTAATTCCTCCCCCTAATGCTAAGATAATTGTCAAATTAAATTGACAAATATTTGTACTACATTATAAAACATCAACATTTGTAATAAGGGTTCATATTACGCATTTATTTTCAGCGTTCATTATTTTCCATCTCAGTGCATTGTGGTAGATCAATTTTATACATACTGCACTATCAAAATAATTAGATGAAAAAATTAGGCTCTGACCATAAGCCAATTTTAATAGGGAGAACTATGATATTGATAAGATACGTAATGACATTCCCTAAATGGAAATGAGAAATATATTTTTTTTAATTAAATTAATTGGAGTCGTTTAACAAACAAGCTTGTTAAATCATTTATCGACATCCCAAAAAGCACTTATTAAAATGTTGAGATTTATACACACTAGCATTAATAAGACACGGTTTCAATTATTTAATCTGAAAATTATGCTCATACTTTAGAATTTGAGCAATAATTTCGCAAACTTCTGGCTGTGAATATCATGCAATCATCTAGTATTTGTATCAAATTTATTATAACGACGTACTGGGTGACGAGGCCCCATATATCACCCTAATTAATTTTCAGATATATAGAAAATTCAATCCCAATTTTAGCTAGTGGTCTTTAATGATCAATTATCGACAATGAGAACAAATGATACATAGAAATTTATTGGATTGAAAAATCTTCTAGTTCTTCATTTTGATTTCGCATCATTGTTGATCCAGTGATGGTCCAACTGGTCATACCAATAAAATTAAACTTTTAGTTCAATATAAGATATAATCCAATTATTTAATTTCAAAGAATATGATTAAATATTATATAATCATATAATGATCAATGTCCTCGTGACATAAGTCATATTTTTTCCTCCAGTGATAAACACAAATTCAAAATGATATATTCTTCGAAAATGTGCTACGTCAAGAGCACATTTAACATTAATTATTGCTTCTTCAAGAACAATACATAAATATTTTTTTGAAATATTGATATATACGTAGTTATGATTATTTACAAGTGATAGGATAATATTCTTCAGGAATATTGACGCATTTAAATTAATCATAACACTTTTCTAAAATATTAATATGCATAAATTTGTGCTTCTTTAGAAACACAATACCGTATTGTTCAAGAATACTAGTATATATTATTTTTACTTCTTTTGGAACAATATATTAATATTTTTCTTAAAAATATTGAAATTATAACGACGTGCTCTCCAATAGCATATCATTCTTTTAAATTATTGAAATACCAAATAGTATACTCTTCTAGAGCGATAAATCAATATTCTTCTCAAATATTAATAAAATAAGAAAATTGTTTTCTTCTTAAAAATTATAGCTAGTATTGAATTATTTGTATTTCTTCAAGAACACAACAAGATATAATTCTTCAAAATGTGTGTTACCTCTAGGGCATGTCGTGTTTTATTATTATTTCTTTAAAAACAATATATCAATATTCTTCTGGAATATTGAAAGTTATACAAGAATTTATTCTTCAGAAATAAAAACACAATTTTCTAATTATGCTCTTCAGGAGCAAGTAAAATATAATTAGAACATTAATAATAATGTGCTGATCCAAGAGCAAAAATATTTTATAGTAGACAAATATACGAGTATTAAAATCATGTATTATAAGGGTAAGAACGAGATAATTAATCAAACGATAAACAATAGTAATGGACATTTAGCGATGACCCTAATTTAATATATGGTACTTATACATCACAAACCGCAATAATTAAGTGCCCACTTTGTTTAATATAAACTTAAAATTTGTCACTAAAATTTAACTAGATACGGTGACATAATTATGCATGCATATACGCGTGAAATTAATATTACCTTCTATCGAATATAAAGATGAATTGCAAACTTACACAGTCAGCATTGCCTCAGAACCTCCAAAAATGGTACAAGAAGGAATTGATGATAAATTTGGGTGGCTAGAACCTTGGATATCAATCATTAACTACGAAGGAGAATTGCACACGTGGTGATCATATATCTTAGGAATGGTCAAACACATAATTTAGATGAATACGTTTATTAGTAATATCATGCTCTTCTGGAGTAATTAATATTCTTTTGAAATATTTTTATAACGTGGGTTGTATTTATTCGAGAATATCAACACTATATTTATTTAAAATAAATATAATTTAA